AAGGGGGGGGGGGGGCAAAGTAGCAGTCTTGTTACATTTTCCTGAAATCTTACAACATTATCCGTGTTTTAACTTCTAGGTTATAGTGGGGTTCATTTGATGAAACTTGTGGACAACAACCAATGAGGAGGCCGGTTCGTGCTACATGACAATGCTGGGTCATTTTTTTTTAAAATCTGTTATTGTCAATATTTGTTTGCGCATGGAATGAGATAAGCCCTTACAGTATTTCAGGTCAAATTCACGATGGCGAAGAGAAAGACTTCTAGTAATACAATGTGCACTGGTCTGCGCAATTATCCGACCCCATTCGACCCGATGCGATTAAATCTGATCAAGCAGTTGAGGTCCATGATAAATTACGCCCTTAGAAGGAAGACTTAATTCTAACTCCAAGACGCATAGTTTTGAGAAAATAGGATTCAAAGATTCATATATTAATGCAGATAATGTGTTGTACACCGTAACTGTTAAGCGTTAAACTGAGCTAAATACAGGTCAGATTGTCTCAAGCTTTGGATATAGTGTGCAGTGCAGGACATCTGTATCAGTAATGTGTAGTGTGTAAACACAGTTCTCGCAAAAAGTCGTGGAGTTAGAACCGTAGAACCCCGAGGTTCTAAGGGCGCTAAAAGAACGTTCTTTCTAACCCTGCTGTAGCCGTGGTCCATAACCAGACTTCTGGAAAGTAAGTCCGGATATGTAGGTCATCGTCTTCTGGGACTGTGGGTTCGAGGGGTGGAAGGCCAGGCTCTGATACACCCGGAGGGGGAGCGGGACCCGAGGTCCCGGGTGGGGGAGACGGATAACAGTCGTCGTAACCGTAGTCCTCCACTGTGGAATGTCGGCACGTTTGACGGGTTACACATCGTCGGCACACTGTTCAAGAATTTTAACCCCCAAAAATGACCTTTTTCTTTTTAGCTTCTCTACTAGTAGTTGGAAGTTGTTTCGCGGATGTTTCTGCGAAAAAATCACTTTGCTTATTGCCATTTCCAAAATGATACCTAAATATAACACTCACGAACACTCACGCACGCGCGCGCACATAAACACACACACACACGCACATGCACACACACACACGCACACGCACACATACATGCACACACACACACACACACACACACACACACACACACACACACATACAGCTTCATCATCATCATCATCCTCATCATCATCATCATCATCATCATCATCATCATCATCATCATCATCATCATTATTTTCTATTTCTAAACAGTTTTTCTGCTTCCTGGTTGTTGTCGTTTTTTGTTGTTGTTTTTGTTGCTGTTGTTGTTGTTTTTGTTTTTGTTGTTGTTGTTGTTGTTGTTGTTGCTGTTGCTGGGTTTTTGTCTTTGAAGAGTAACACTTAATTTACCGGCATTAAATCTGGACACAGGCACCAAAACAAGAAAAGATAGGGCTTTATGTGTTCTCCTAAGTAACTCCTTGACGGAGCGGCGTTAAACATGCTCAAAAAAGCCAAACAAACCAACTGTAATGTTTCACAAAACATTTTTTAAAAGACTTCTAAACCCACTTGTATGTTTTAATAGCCAGACGCTGACATGTCTCAAATCTATCTGCTTTGTGACTTTTACATTGTGAAAATACTAATACTGACATTTACAGGAATTAAAACTGTTATTCTATTTGATTTCCATGCTTGGAAATTTGATATAAAAATGTGTTGTTTGTGGTTGTTTTTGGTTTATTGTTTTCTAATTTAGGTCATCATCAAGTTCATACATATGGTTGTGCGAAAGAGGGTGTTGTTGTTCGAAAGTAAAAGTGAGTTTGCATGTGTGTGTTCCCATCAGAGAAGAGATCTTAAAAAGAAAGGAAAGGCAGTAAGAGGAACTTATCTTTTTTACATAATAAATTGTCACATTTTATCCAATAACTGCAGTGTCAACTATACTTGTTATTACTAGAGCATGCTGTTGTGTGTATACTTTTTCAACACCAAGCAGGATTGCCAAGGTCGATCTTGCACTATGATGAAGCATGTATAATTGCTAGTATAAAAGTACGCTGGGGATCCGACTTCAGTTTCCCATGAGGGAGAAATGTTTATCGAATATCTCGGTCTTTCTGCTGAGAGGTCCTATTCCCCTTATCCCGGGTAATCCCTCACAGGCAGGATTAGAAGTCCGCCTCCAAACGATCGAAATTGTGTTGATGGGGGTGTAAAACACTTACATTTAAAAATAAAATAAAATAAAGTATTGTGAGCTAACTTTTGGGCCTTCTCTGATTATTTCCATTAGAAAGTATATCTTCTGGTTTTTCTTTGCCTATTTAGAAATACCTTAACATTCAAGTGAGATTTTTACCATTAAATGTTTAACGGTTTAATCTGATCATTGAGAAAACCAAGCTGTCCTGTGAACTGTTGTGAATGCAACTAACTTGTGTGTTTCACGTGCTGATATTACCTTATACACTTGCGAGCGCCGTAAAACTCCTACTACAGTAAAGTAAACCAGTTATGCTGTTGGATCATAACGCCATCGATATTGTGCCATAATACTCACGGGGTAGAGATCTATACTCCCTCATGTCCACATCACTCACGAAAGACAGACCAGCTTTCTAGAAAGGGGGTGGGGGGGGGGGGTAAGAACCAGTATAAGTCAAATGAAAATTGGGCTCATTCAGGCTGACCATACCGAAACTGCTTACCGGAATTTTGTACTAAACGTTTCTGGATGTTGTGAAAATCATAAGCGGTTTTTTAAGTGAGAAAAACCCCCCAAAACCTGTTGTTGACATCAGAAAAAAACTGCCCCTTCAGCCACTCGAAATTAAAAATGAAAACGTCCACCAAGTTTCAGATAGTAAGCATTTGATTGTGTTAAAATAGACGACAAACTCAACTGGCGTGTCCACCCTTACACTCCTGCATAAAAAAAGTGAACAAAAGACTTTTTTTTAAAGGAAGCTCGTTATTTTAAAGTCAATAAAACATCGATGCCCATAGTCTATCATTCAGCCATAGAAAGTATGAACAATTTCTGTATAACAGCATGGGCCGGGAACACAAGACAACAAGATAAAGAACAATTGAATCGACTAATACGAATGCATGCAAAATTTCAAAATCTACATTCCCCTACTTGGAAGAATCGTGCATTACAGTTTGCATGAAAAAAAAAATTCGATCTTTTTGGACAATAAACATCCCTTGTTCCTTCACATAAAAATATCAGTCAGAAGTAAAAGACCAAGCTTTTTTATTTTATCTGTAACAAAGAAAGATACAGAAGATCATTTTTACCATCATCCATTAAAATTCTTCTTCTTAACCACCTTGTTACAAGTATTCATATGACCTTAGAGCATGCATCAGAATAACATTGAGTTACAATCAGAATTCTGAGTATGTATCTAGCTTAACATTATTATTGTTTATATAACTGTTCATTTAAATTATGCATGTGACTGTAAGCCTGTGTGTATGTGCATGTTTGTGTTAGTATGTGTGTGTGTATGTGTGTGTGTGTGTGTGTGTGTGTGTATGTGGGTGTATGTGACTGTGCGTGTGTGCGTATGTGTGCGTGTGTACGTGGTGAAACACCAAACCAATGTGCCAGGAGCTTGACTATAAAGATGTATCTTATCTTATCTTAAAACAAACCTAAATCTCATTCGTTCTCTATTCTCTTTCGTTTCTCTTTTCCCCTCCTTTTTCTTTCTTTTTGTTTCATTCT